TTCCGGTAATCTCCCAATTGAATAAGATAGCTAGAAACGACAGTTTGTCAGAAATTACTTTTGGCAAGATTTCAATACCGGCTTCTGTAATCTTGTTCAATTGTAAGAAAGGCATCGTAAAACCACAAACGAAGATACAGACGGAGCGGCTCGAAAACTTTGGTGACTAACCTGCTATTGCAATTTTTCAGTGTACCACATGGCAACACCACTACTACTGGACTGTACCACATGGCAACACAACTACTGGATTGAACTAGCATTTTTACCAATTGAACTAGAATGTTTTGGTTCTATCTCTTTCACTCTACTCTAAACTGAAATACATAAAAAAAAATTACAAAATGATACACTCTTTGCACACTGTCAACGATCGTATTGCACACAAAATCAACTATGATCAAATCAAAACAAAAAAACTAGCCCATCTGGTGGCTGATGGCACAAGCTTCTAAGAAAATTCTATTACAGCGAACCACATTATTTTAATTGATTTCTTTGCCAGTTAGTCGTCTGTCACTTCGTTTGTGGTAAAACCATAGAGATAACTCTAAGACTAGAAGGTCCCGAAATAACCTCGCTCAACTTTTTGGCTCAGCTCTGGTACTCTCTTCGGTCCCAAGCTAATCGATTCACCCCTCGAAACATAGGAAAAACCAATAACCCCTCATTTTATCTGTCCAACTTTCATAGCGAATCAAAACAAATATTGCGTAGTACTAGAATTTCGACTAGAATGGGGTACGATAATCGTTTGCTTGGGACCAATAGGCTAGTCAAGTAGTGAGCCAATTTAAAATCGTTAGTTTCGTATTGATTGTTGGTAAAACTGATTAACTCCCAATGACAGTTCCCGACAGCTTGTGCCTGGCTCCTTTTGACGTTTATATGTTTCGAGTCTGGGTCTCCAGGTATAAACCATGGCCCACTTAGTAATGGAACAAATTCTTTTACTTATTACAGCACTCCTAGTGGACGTTTTCGGAAGCTATTGACGTTGTTTGTTGACAACAACAATAACAATAACAGTGTATGTATTTTTTTCAGTTCATAAAACGCTCTTGTTTTGCAAACAGTCCCCATGCAAGAGGAGCGTAGAAAAAAATCGTGCGCAGTCACCTGTCAAATCGATCGTGGTCCGCGTCCAAGCTGGCTAGAGTGATGAATTTCCCTAGAAACACCGTATGGCGTGTGCTCAAAACGTACAGGGAAACCTTGACGACGCAAAGTAAGCGACGGAGTGGAGCTGCCAACTGTCAAGCTCCACGGAAAGATTGTGAGGTCCATCATCAGCAGCAACCCAGGTATGTCCGATCGCGATTTGAGTAAAAAGTATGATGCCGCCTGTAGTACAGTGCAGCGAATTCACTACCGACCCAGTAGGAACCCGTGCTCGAAAGCTGTATGACAACCTGCTGACCAAGTCCGGTGGGTGCATACTTATGGATGATGAAACCTATGTAACAGCCGACTTCGGACAGCTTCCAGGACCAAACTTTACAAGGCGAAGGCTCGAGGAGGTGTCCCTGGCAGATTCAAATTTGTATTTGCGCACAAATTCGTACCCAAATATATGATCTGACAGAGAATTTGCAGCTGCGGCCAGAAGACAAAGGTTTTCGTCACTGAGAAAATGATGAGCTCGATGGTTTACAAAACCGACTGTCTCCAGAAGCAAATTTTGTATTTCATCCAGATGGTCCGGTGACATTTTGACGGGAGCTTGCGAGTTGTCACTACAGCCGGGAAGTACAACAATGGTACAATGACAACGAAGTACAGTTTGTTCCCTCAATCCGCCCAATTTTCCCCAGTTCAGGCCCATTGAAAACTACTGGGCAATTATGAAGAGGAAACTGAAGGTAGAAGGTACAGCCTTCGAAACGGCAGGTTAGCTAAAAAATTGGTGGGATAAAATCGGCCAAAACAATGGACAATACCGTTGTACCATAGAGGTAACTCTAAGACTAGAAGGTCCCACAGAAACGTGCTCAACTTTTTGGCACAGCTCTGGTACTCTCTTCGGTCCCAAGCTAATCGATTCACCCCTCGAAACATAGGAAAAACCAATAACCCCTCATTTTATCTGTCAAACTTTCATAGCGAATCAAAACAAACATTGCATAGTACTAGAATTTCGACTAGAATAGGGTACGTTAATCGTTTGCTTGGGACCAATAGGCTACTAAAGTGGTGAGCCAATTTAAAATCGTTAGTTTCGTATTGATTGTTGGTTGTACCAACAATCAATACGAAACTAACGATTTTAAATTGGCTCACCACTTTAGTAGCCTATTGGTCCCAAGCAAACGATTAACGTACCCTATTCTAGTTGAAATTCTATTACTACACTATGTTTGTTTTGATTCGCTATGAAAGTTTGACAGATAACATCAGGGGTGTGTGGATTCATGCAGAACATGCAGGGGTGAGTGAAATAGCTTGGGACTGCTTGGGACCGTTGTTCTGGTACTGAGTGAGCCAAAAATAATAATGATTTTCTTCGGGACCCAGTGGTCTTAGAGTTACCTCTATGGTTGTACCCCGCTTGATGGGTCGTATTAATGGAAAACTTCGAAAATTCCTTCGGAACCGGGACGAATAATTCGTTTCGTATTTTTTTCTTAAAATATAAGGAATAGTATCATAGAGGTAACTCCATAGAGGTAACTCTAGGACCACTGGGTCCCGAAGAAAATCAATATTATTTTTGGCTCACTCAGTACCAGAACAACGGTCCCAAGCAGTCCCAAGCTATTTCACTCACCCCTGCATGTTCTGCATGAATCCACACACCCCTGATGTTATCTGTCAAACTTTCATAGCGAATCAAAACAAACATAGTGTAGTAATAGAATTTCAACTAGAATAGGGTACGTTAATCGTTTGCTTGGGACCAATAGGCTACTAAAGTGGTGAGCCAATTTAAAATCGTTAGTTTCGTATTGATTGTTGATAGTATGCACTTGAGTGAAAATTGTTTTCAAATCCGTTGATTCAAATCCGAAAAAGACCCAAATGATGTTGTTCCATTACTAAGTGGGCCATGCTTTAATATATTGAATGTCTTCTACGACTTCATATTTCTGAGTAGAACGAAAAATGTACTTACGTGCGTGATACTACACTACTTTCATTAGATTGAACAACTTTAAGGAGAACCGGATCAGAAGTCTGTACAGATGTGTTGATTTGCAATTTATGAAAATAAAGTCACATTTTCAAATGCTTAACAAACGAAATATCGCTGATTTTTTAACCCATCACAGAACTTTTTAAAACTGCCGGATTTTCCGCTTCTGAACCATACAGCAGTTTAAGAAATTGTGACAATAAGAGTAACGATTTTGAAAACAAATCGAGTACGCGCTAACTTGAAAGTATCCATTAATGAGAAAAATTTCACCCAAAGGCAACCTAACTCACTGACCGGGTGAACTTTTACCCAATTAAAGAGTTAAAACCACTGAAATTTCACTAACTAAAGGGTACTTTCACAAGTCAGAGTGTAGGGAAAGACAAAAACGACACGAACACTTCTAATTTGACAGCTAGGAGGAAAATTATCACCCAGGGCTCGGACTATAGGAAAGACACAAGATTCACTGTTTTCCGGAAAGGAAGCTTCAAAACTGACGTGTAATTAGCACTAATTCCATATTAAGGTATCCGACAAAATCTCGTCTTTGTTCTCTCGCTTAAAAAAATAACAGGAAACGGATTGACTTTTCCAGCGAACTCGTCAGAAATGCACATTTTTTTTATGTATTAACGTACGTTACGTATATCCGGAGTAAAGGTGAATCGAAAAGAGGTATAGAAGGAGGCTTGCTCACACGCACACAGAGGGCGGATCGTGGTTAACGTTGGATGGCTATTTACACGGGAGGTGAGGTAATTGGGGCTCACACAAACACGTAAGTCGGATAGAGGGCTCGGGTGTTTAGCTCACAGTATCGTACAGAAGGTGCGGAAGAATTTGGCTACGGGAAGAAAGTAATCAAAAAAAAAGAGGGAAAAGAAGAAAAGAATACGAAAGAAAAGAAAAAGGAATAACACACTAAGCTTTTTTTGAACAGTTGGCGATACACGTGGAGTACACTCACACACAGAAAGAGAGAAAATTTGTTTTCAAAATGTTACCGTAAAATTATTAAAAAAAAAAAAAAAACTAAAACCAAGACGAGACAAAGGACGAAAAGAAATGAAGAAAACGAGTAAAAATGTATTTCAATCGTTCGGGATTTGCACTTTATTAGATACCATTTCGCTTCGTACACGGTAGACACGAGAGAAATAGATTCGTTAAGGTAGATTTCTTCGGTTTCGTTGCTTTGGTTGTTGTTTATTGTTTTTTTTTAGTTCGGGATTTTTTTATTTTATTTTTTTTTGTATTTTGGGGGGAAGGAAATTTTGGGAAACGAAAGATTTGAGAGCGTGTATGTGTGAGTAATCGCAAACACAATAGTGAAGGGAATAGAAAAGAGAAAAAAAGAAGAAAGCGTTTGAGTATATAAGGAGTAGCAAATTATTATTATTTTTTTTGGAAGAGAGAAACATTTTGAAAACAAACTTCTATCTAGTTAAACATTACAGGAGAAAAAGGGAGAAAAATATCAATCATCACAATCACGGAAAACAATGGGATGGTTTTGTCAAATTTTACACATTTTCTCTTCCTTTTTGTCACACGTGGAACTACGTCCGTTAGGTAAACACAGCTTACTTAGATCTAGAAAACAAGGGTCTAAATGGTTAGAACAAAACAATAGCGACCATAACACAGGTTTGGGTAGAGTATTTACACGTGTATTGGTGCGTGTAGAAATGTGAAAGTAGTTGACGTTTTAATATAACGGTTTTGTAATATTTAAATGTATAGAAAAAGTATTGCGTAAACATAATAATATGAACAGTTTTGGAGAATGGCATCAATGGCGTAATGCAGTACTAGAGTGAGGGTAGAGAGCGTCTAGCTTTCTACTATTTCTGAGCTTTACCTATTCGAGAGATTTTACTTTCCCGCTTGCGACGGGGCGGCACCGGTGGATTCGCGGGTGCACTGCTGGCGATGTCCAGCTCGTCGTTGGCCGTCAGCGGAGCGGTTTCGATCTCGTCGATAGTCTTCGTTGGCTTTGGCTGGCCATTCGTCGACGAAAGGGTGGTTGGTGGCGGTGGTGGTTTGGATGCTGGGGATGGTGGCGATGGCAATGATTGACGTTTGGTGGTGGCGGCGGCGGCGGTGGTGGTGAGGGTGGATGAGGAAAGCGACTGTGAGGGCTTAGCCGGCTTTGTCTTAGTAGGCTGTTGTGGCGTAGCTTTGGGTGATGGTGTTGGTGGTAGCGGTGGTGTTGATGAGACAGTTGTCTTGGTTACCGTTGCGGTCTTGGGCGCAACGGTTGTCTGTGATTTGGGTTTAACTGATGAGGTCGTTTGTGTGGCGATGGAAGTGGTAGTAGGGGCTATGCCCGATGGTGACGCTAGTCGCTTACGGCGGATTGTTTTGACGGGTTCGACACTGGGTTCTTTACCTGCCATCGATTCCTGGGCAACCTGTTGTTCCAACTGAGGTCGAGGTGAGGCGCGTGGTGGTGTCGATTTGTGTTCCGGCTGAGGAACAGGAGCAGGGGCAGAAGCAGGAACAGGAGGGGGCGTGGCTTTCGGTGCAGGCGGGACAGGCGTTACTTTCGGTGCAGGCGGGGCAGGCTTTACTTTCGGTTCTGGTTCCAATGGTTGAACGGGTTCTAGTCGGCTTTCAGCAATTGTAGCGGAGGCTACATGGGCTGGGGCATCAACCGCATCGTATCCGGCTGTGTCGTCGTCATCTACGCTAGGGTCATAAACGGTTTTGGTACGGGTATGGGTTTTACCTTCTTGGGTTTTGGTGGTAATGATCTGTTGATAACCTGCAAATACTTTTTTGGTCAGTGTGGTCGTACTGGTCTTCGGATTGTACTGGACCGGCGGTGGCAGTTTCCTACGCTCGGCGCTTTCGTCCAGTGGTGTAACGTTCAAACTGTCGTCCTCTTCTTGGATCGATGCTCCAATTTGAACTGCACACAAACACACCCACAAGAGAGGCGATTCAATTGGATTTTCAGAGGATATGCAGGACATTGGACGTGTTTCGATTCGGTACACCACATGCGCATCGAGATGAGAGCGGTAGGATCGTATTTGGTTTGGATTCATTTAGTTCGGAAAAAGGGAAGTAGGAAAATACGAGTTTTAGTACCATGGTCGGCTATATTTCTGTTAATTAAATATTTCCCTATTTTTGTTTTGTCACATAAAACGAACACACGTTGTTTACCATTCGATGCCACAAATGCAACACGAGCACAAACAAAGATTAAAACTTAAAACGAATGAGAGACAACAATCGATATTAGTTTCAACCACAATGGTTCAAATCACCACAATTAAAATTTAAACAAAGCAATCCCCTCGCTTTCACTCTCAGACGACTAAGTAGCACGAACACGGCTTTGCAATCGATCCTCTCACTCTAGCAGTCCATCATAGTAGTCGTGCGTTGTTTTCCATACTCTTGCAAAAAATGCACTAGAATATATCACCCCTGTAATGTTTCCTGTCAGTGTCAACGAATCACTATTTCCTCATGTCTGTTGTTGTTGTATGAACGGAACGGAAATCTCATCATGCTGGACATGTTCTCTTATCGAAATTTAATGTACTTGATTGTGATAGGTTAGTAGTGTATGTGCTTTTGGTTTACATTTTGATATACAACTCAACTGATCAATCTACTACTTCTTTTTGGTCGATTGTTTAGGATTAGCGGTCGGTTTCTTCGGCGTGACGAGCCCTGATGACGGGAGGGGGAAAAAGAGTTAAAACATAGAACCAGACTTTAGTTTTTGATCCATTTCCGAAAAATGAGCTTTTTGATTTATTTATTTTTTTCATTGGATTTAGGCGAGGCTCGCAAGCGTACTTACTCAAAAACGAACAACAAACGGCAAAAACGGAAAACCGAACGCAATAACAAAACAAAGAAGAAGTAGAAGAGAAAGAGGACACGAAATGTCCAAACACCGGGAATACGCACACAAACGCACAAACGCACAAATCAACGAATGAGAAGAGGGAGAATGGACAAAGAGGTTGTGTATAAGATGCGGGGTGAGTCGGATGTTTATGTTCGTGCGGACCGGAGTTGCCAGAGTTTTTATTCAGTTGTCATTATATAATAATCGATCAGTGAAAATTGTGAATTAGAAAATGGCTTACTTACATAAACTAAAAATGAGACTTTTAATGTAAAACGACAGCAGATTAGGAACTGTTAAAATTATGTATAAAACATTGAATTGAGCTGAAACAAGTAATTCAATCGGTCGATATGGAAAGACATACGTAAAAAATGAGGATTGGGTTCATCAAAGGAGGTGGTCTAGTCGCATAGGAGTACTAAGCGAAACCCCAAAACTTGAAGACTTAAAAAATATAATTCAAAACCGAGAAAAAAAACATCACTGATTTTTTATATGTTGTGTAAAAAAGTCTACATTTTCAAGGGAAATATAAAAACATATTGCGCCCTCTGTTTAGTAATCATAGAAACCATAAAAAAAAACAAATACATTCAATGTTTTTTCAATACAAAATCCATTTTTTTTTTTAAACATCATTCCATTTTATTAAAAAAAAGTATTTTTAATTACATTTCATTTGATATTTTGATCTTTGAAATCCGTCAATTGATTCAAAAGTTATTAATTTTTGAAAAAATGATTTTTTGGACCACCCTAACATGGAAATGGTCACCCTAAAAAAAACGGGTCTAATATTTTGCAATTTTTACGAAGTTCTGACAACCACTATATCGTTTTGCATGGAATCTCTTAATTTTTAAGTGTTCATGGTTTTAAACATTCTTAAAGTTTGCATTTTTCATGAGTTCAAAAAAATCCAATATCGGACAAGAACGTTTTGAGACGATTAGCTTTTGAACATTTTTGTTTTAATTTTTAACAGATTTTAACTTGAAATTACTAAAAACAGTTTCGTGTTTATGTTTCCAAGAAAAACATAATTTTTCTCTACAACTTTAATCTACAACTACAAATATCATTTTGAAAATTTTACAACATCCAAAATGGCTGAATTTCAGCAAAAGTTTTAATCATTGCAAATAACAAACAATTATGCGAAGTTTCATGCAAATCGGAGAAGGTAAAGTTTTTCCGACTAGTCATTTGGCGTGGAACTGCTCAGACTTAGAAAGCTCCCAATTAACTGTGCAAGTGGCTGGCGTTAAGTCCCAGGAACGTAATAACACCAAAGAAGAAGAAGCATTTCTAATCGCACAAATATTCCCCCTTATTCTGCGAGTCAAGTGACTCTCTATCACCAGTGTGGTGACAATAGTCACCTCGTGTGAGGTGACTCTCCGAGCAAATCAAAGGGAGAGTCACCTCACACGAGGAGACAATTGTCACCTCATCGGTGAGAGAGAGTCACGTGACTCGTAGAATAAAGGGATTGTGCGCAGTGCGCAATTTAAAGAACGAGTGTATTCCAAGCGAGTGAAATCAATTTTGAACATTTCAGTTCGATTACTCAAAATCTAAAGAAGTTTGTTTTACTTGCATTACTCAGTTTATTGTATTTTCAACTTGAAAATTTTGAACCACAAAACGTGACACTTTATCTATTAGGCTTTTTTCCCCTTTAGCTTTCATTTGAGTCATTCGACCTTTTGTACTTTCGACCTTTTGTTGTTCATTCGAGTATTTGTCGTTCGACTTTAAGTCCTCCTCCTGGACTAAGAAAAATCAGCAATAATTCACTTTCTTTTAGTTTGTTTATATGTTGAGGCTCACTCGCAGTAGCTTCACGGAGCCGAAAAATGCACATATTGTCAGGATCTTTAAAACCTATGAAGTACGTATTAGAATTTGATGTTTTTCTTTTTCAAGACATCAAAAACAGACCTTCGTCAAAAAATGTTGCTTAACCCTAATAAAAAAATACCATAAACGAACGTTTACCCAAATGATTGAACTATTCCACAAATGGTTTGGATGATACTCCGAACACGTCGTTAAACAAATTAACCATAACATTTTTTTATTGTGGAAGGCATGTTGTTTTTTTTCAAGTCTAAGTTTTCGAAAAATTAATCCTAGAATACTGAAACTGTTTACTATTTCAGAATTTTTAAATCTTACCCAACACTTTTTTCCGTTCCCGGATTCTAAATTTTGTCTATGCCTGTAATTTTGACAATTTGCACATGTCGTAAAATCTGAAACTTTGTTTCCACCTCCAAAAGCATTTAATATTTTATCAAATCCCAAAAAGTCAATACTGAGTTTTTGAAAAAAAAAAGCATTTGTAGGTGGAAAAAAGGTTCCGATTTTACGAAATATGCAAATTGTAAAAATTACAGGCATAGACAAAAGTTCTCGATGAACATTTCAAATTGTCCTATCTGCTTTGATCGACTGTCTTCATCAACTGTCTCTTTTCATAACCACTGCTATGCAAACCAATTTCGCGCTAATTCTACCACATAGTTTGATAAAGGAGGTTCTTATTTAACTCCAAAACGTCAAATACAACAGATAAGATTAATGCAGATAGGAGATGTTTATTATTGACATCTTGGACACGGAAAAAAATCCAAGAGTTGGGTAAAAATGTAAAATCTGAATTAGGACAGAATATCCAAAAGCATTTTATACTTTATCAAATCCCAGAAAAAAGTCAACACTGAGCTTTTGAAAACAAAGCATTTGTAGGTGGAAAAAAGATTTCAGATTTTACGACCTGTGCAAATTGTCAAAATTATAGGCATAGACAAATAATAAGATTCCAGTCCTGGAAAATAAATAAATTCAAATTCAGGAGCTAAAAATCTCAGACTTAAGAAAAAAACAAGATTCTTGAACTAGCATTTTTTTCGGGATCTTCGACGGTTTTGACGTAGGAATACGTCTTTAATTTCTATACGTGTGTTACATTAAAAAAATGTAAATTCAGACATGTAACGAAAAATCCCAAACACGGATGCAACGATAGAGCGCAAATCGAGCAAACGACCATTGCGAACTCACATGAGCGCGAGCTCAAAGCTCGGTTGATCGCTCACCATTTCACCAATGAAAAGAAGGGAGGAGAAAAGCAGCTATAATAAAAACGCTTGCCAAACCGTTTTCTTCGTCATTTGCTTTGGAGCAACGGACGGATAAGCGTCGGACACGACGTATGAATGGAACAGCACGCATCGCACCAATACGAAGACGACGATGAAAGCACCCACATTGACCGGAAAAAAAGGCTTCCCGTAATAGGCAACATGACTAGGCTGCCGTCATCCGGTCGGAATCGACTTGCACTAGTGTGGCCACCATTTGAAAAACAACCGGTCACTAATTCAAAAACGGAAAGAGTTAAGAACTACACTGAGGCAAAAGAACGTAATAATTCCATAAGAAACACTTATGAATTTTAGCCACATGAAATCGGTATTAATATGATTGATTTGTCTTATGAAAAATAATGGTCATAAACAAAATAATAAAATTGAGCAGACTGGTACCGAACCATGGACGTTGAGTGTGTTGACCACTCGTCTTGCAACGCTTAGGAAAAATTAAATGGTTAAAGGCCTAATACGAGCTATCTCTTGTTGGACAAAAATCATTCATAAGTCACGCTTATGAAATTCTTACGTTTATTTGCCTCAGTGTAAATGATCAACATATTTGTTCAGTCCACTATAGCGGTCCTACGTCAAGCTTCCGTTCGTGCCCCCAGGCACAGACCCCTCTACGTTTTTTTTAATGAGGGCGTCTTCGTGGAAAACCTGTATAAAGAGAGATAGAGAGAGAAGGATTAGTAAATTCCATTTAATTCCAGTACCTTATTTGCTTATCCCTGACAGATACGTGTGTTTCGTCTACAATGTGCATACTTCTTCAGTGCCTTGTACTATTAGTATTAGTACAAGACACTGAAGAAGTCTGCACATTGTAGACGAAATACGCGTATCTGTCAAGGATAAGCAATGAAGGTAGTGGAA